GAAAGGGGGTGCGCAGGAAATGCGCACGTTTCCGTTCCGTTGTTAATCAATTACCGTTGCTTATCGAGTGTTAAAATGTGCGTGCCTGTAGGCGACGGCGTTCGGATTCCGCCGTTTGGTTTTTTTTTTAAATTTTTTTTTAAGTCGTAGTCGACTACACGTGGCACGTCTAGTTAACGGGGGGTGAAATTTCAGTCGCTCCAGATTTCCGGTGTTGTGACTTGCGGGGATGAAACGGTGTTTTCTCTTCAGAAAAAGGCATGTAACACGTTGTTTGCGTTTCTAAACGTCGGAAGTTCGAATCAGAATGAACGATTAAAAATTTTAACGTTCCCAACAGAGGAAGCACGAATCATCTGTGACAGGATTTTAAATCGTTACGAGGAAACTTGTGATTTATTCATAAGCCAAGAGACACTAGTGGTACATCGACAGTCAATATACTTCCACGTCCGTTTCGAGATAAAGTCGAACAAAAGTCGGAGACACAAAGACCCACTTCTGCAATTATCACTGCGCTCGGTTCTCCACCGATAAGGAACAAAGCGTCGCGTCTCGACTCCACCAAGACAGAGAACAGACTTCTATTTTCCGTAAATACCTCGACGGTACGGAACGAGCCTCGGAATCGCAAATACGCCTCGCACGCTATATACACCGTCGAGGTTTGCCGTACGGGAATCACGAGCAGGGCACCGCAACGACGAGTAGATGCGCCCTTTCACGATAGATAGCGATCAGCCACGGGTCTCGCAGCTTTATTCTTTATTCCGCGCAGGGAGTCCGTCCGGGATCAGCCAGATAGAGGCGGCCAGTCGAGCAGCCGAGCCCAGGGAAGATAGCGCGGAAGGAAGGAAGGAAGGAAGGAAACGAAGAGCAAGGGGGGAAGGGACAGGGAACAGCAGGCGACGCGATGTCGAGGGTTGGAGAACGAAATTCTCGTTTCACGAAGCTGCCGGAGAAAAGTATGTCGACTACCGTGAATTATGATAAATATCGCGACTATGACGCTGCGATTTCAGAGGAATCGCACAGGGGTAGAGAGAGAGAGAAAGACAGAGCGCACGCCTTTAAATCCGACATCCTTTTTCGATCTCCCTCAGGTTGGCCGTCGTACATACATACAGAGAGCAGACCGCGGATCTCTTTCGGCCACTCCGAATACCGTATGCCGGCCGTGTACGCCGAACAAGCTGACCCCCCGGTGTCAAATGGAAGGTCGTGCGAGCTCATCGCGGTCATCGAGAACGGTGCTCGTGATGCATCGGTCCTTGTTAGCGCGAGGAACAGTCGCAAGAACGACGTAAGAGGAACGCGGACCTTGATTTTTTAGCATTCGCGCAGAAATTGCGAACTCGCTGATAAAACATCAGCAAATGGCCGGCGAGTTGCTTCGGAGGTAGTTTAGAAATTTCTTTCTCACAAGGTAGACGATGTTACTTAACCCTTTGTACTCGAGCGGCGCCGCTACGGCGCCCGGCACCAAAACTAATTGCAAACTGTAATATTTAATAGATTTTGTTGTATTCAATAAGAATGAAAAAATTGATAAAATTGTATTATTTGTACACGTTCTTTTGGGTATAAAATGATTTGAACTACCCCTAAAGTTATTTTCTAATATATCCGAAATCGTCTCGAGTTGCTGGTTCGCCCGAGCGCAAAAGGCCTCGAGTGCAAAGGGTTAAAGATAATATTTAAAATATTGTTAACAATTGTGCACAACAATGATTTAATACGGAGTCAGTTCATTAAATACTCATTATCCTTTTCTTCTATTCTGGGCAATTCTAAAGACCAGCAATTATATCAGAACTTTAGTTGTTCATTAATTAGAGACATTCATGACGCAGCAAAGGCATACGTTATTGTTCTTCATTTGACGGATAAAGTGCAGTAGCACAAAGATTTTTAAGGCGAATGGAACTTGTCCGAAAGAGGCACCTAGCATGGAAGTGGTCGCTTTCAGCGCGAAAGCCGGGTATTTTCAATTAAATAAAAAAAGGACCCCAGCACAGAGAGAAAGAGAATTCACAACACTAAAATTTCAAAGGTAGCTGCTCGAGAGCGGAAAGAACACTCGCCGGTTCGCAAAGCGAGTAGAGAAAGCGCGCACACACCCGTGCGTTCTTCATTTACCCGTTGACAACAGTCATCGAGCAGTAGATAACGTCACTACGCGAGATATACAGACATCACGAGAGGGACAAAAAGAGATTGGACTGAAAAAAAAATGCCTGTTACAGGAAACGACTTAATGCCAGCGCCTTTTCCGCCGTATCTTTGAAAGGGTGCTGCCCGCGAGGGAGATAGGCACGGAGGGGTCAGATGGAAAGAGGACAGGAATAGCTCGAGCAAAACAATTACCTACCCTTCCTGCACGCCGGGGGCACATTTTCACCCCTCAAAACGGTGGGAAGGAAAGCCACCGCTTGAGGTATGCGAACTACCCCCCATAGGGCGCGCGCACACACACCTTGGGACATACAAGCGCTAGGCGTATCCGCATCCCGCTGTATTTATACACCGGCACCGTGGAGACCGCGTGAATTCGTGTGCGTGGTTCACCACCGCGTGGGTACGCCACACACGCATAGGCATTCCTCATCCTCTCGGCGGGCATTAGCACGACCCCATGGGAGCGAGCTGGGGCTCGTTTTATGGGTACAACACGACGGAAACGCGGTAAAACAGACAGGTGGAACGGAACGTGCACGTATACGCGGGCCGGTGACAGCCGTGAAAGAGCGAGGGAGATCGATGCGACGATGTTGATGCCGTGCCGCCGTAAAGGGCGCAAAGGGTAAGGCGAAAATCGCGGCGCAACCGGTTGTCAGACAAGTGATTCGCGAAAAATGTGCTGAAGCCGTGGCTGGAGCTTTAATAAAGCTGTGCGATTTTATAATTACCCTAATCCGTCCCCTATGCCAATTTCATTTGATGAGAACATATTCTTTCATGAACGTTCATTTTCTCGTCTCTCGTAACATATGAATTTCTCATTAACCGAGAACGCAGACTGCATTTTGAATATATTCAGTAAAAAGTATGCGGAGCATTCCGGAATTCGTTTACGTTACTGGAACCAGGTTTTCGATATTACTCCCCATATTAGCTAACCGCAGAGTTGAAAGCGAAATTTACAAGGCAATTTGAATATTTTTCTGGGAAGAACAGCCGACGGTGACAAGAAATTAACGAAGCGGCGAACCGAGCTGCTAACTTACGAGACCCTAAATCGATTTGTTTTCCACGCCGGGTATTTGCATAACCACCCGGTCCCGATATTTTCTTTTTCTTCGCGAAGTAGTCGCACGATTTTCGTCACCCCCTCGCACACACGTTCGGCCCCGGCATGGAGATGACCGAGAAAGCAGGTAAAAGAACCGAACGCGGGCCGACGCGACGGTTAACAGTTTTGTAAATTGAAATTTACGAGTCACCGCGACCCTCCCTATTCAGCCCTCCTTATCATCGGTTCAATGGCAGAAGCATGAATAATTCAGGCTGCCACGGTGGACCTCGTGGTTTCTTTTCCCTCACCCTGTTTCCATCGTTCCTTCCTTCCCTTCCTTTTTTTTTTTTCTCTCTCTCTGTAAATTAAACGCCGTGACGGTCATCGACGAACATTCCCCCGTTTGATCGGTACGTCCGACGAGAATCGCTCGGGGCCGCCCGTCGTCGCACGATTATTAATGCCTCCGTCGTTTCGACGTCTCTGTTAGCGGTCGGAACTAAATTTAAAGAAACGAGCACGTAACCTCGTCGCTTCCACTTGTACCGGCATGAATAAATCTGAACCAATCGTCTGGGAGAGTTTATATTTATTGCACCGTTGTTGCCGCAAGCATTTTATACGAGATTATTTGGATTATCAAACGGCAGCAGGAAAAGATGAGGTGACATGCTGAGGACCAATACATCAAGTGGAAGTTCTTTTATGCTGACTTACGATGATGCGAAGGAATTCTTAAAGGAAAATTATGATACTTTTATGATAATATATTTTTTTTTAGATGAACAGGAATATCAAACGATGTTTTTATAGCGTTTCCTCTGTCTCACGTTATTGTTATTTACAACAACGTACAGATTTATGTAACGCGTATCCGATTAAACACAAAACTCTGGACTTAATTAAGTTCTCTGTAATTACTCTCTGTCCCGTCTCTTTCTCCCGCGGAAGAACAGCGAAGATAGGTCACACTTGAACCGTGTATAGTCCGCAGGTTTAGCGTAAATCACGGATCGAGAATTTCCACGCGTGCACGATCCGATGCGCCCGGTTCTCACAATGAAATCGACGAGGCTCGTCGAGGCCTCGAGAACTACGTTACGTACAACCTACTCCATCGAATAGGTGACAAGGGTCGAGCAGCGGCCGAGAAACAAGAACAAAGAAGGAATCGTGAATGGACTAATGAATTTAAATGGAAGCTCGGACTCGGGACCGCGGAGGAGCGCGAATCGGAGCGAAAAAAGAAGAGTGAAAGGAAGAGAGAATATCAGCGCGTTGGAAGGGTACGGGGGAAACGGGACGAACAACGGGACGGGAAAGAGTACGAGTCGCATGACCGAAGTCGGACAAATGGGGAGGCTGGAATTCGCGTAAAATATAAAGAGTCCCGCTACCCGCTGCCGTGTATTTTCCCAAATCTCCCGACGCTGCACAATTTTTTTCTCGCGCCGCGTTTAGCCAGCCTCGCGTATAATAATCAACGAACAGAGGGATACACCAGCGAATTTATATTCCAGTAATGGTCCGTCGATGGCACCCGACGACAAGAAGATTCGCGAAAAAGGAAAACGACGAGGCGACGCGACGCGCAGCGACAGGGCGAGGTCTCCCGAATTTCCATATTTCATCCAACTTTCTGCCGGATGATTTACGTTCAACGTATTAAAATGAAAATGTTATCGGCCAAAGTGTTTTCAGAACAGCAGACCGAGTCGTTAATATCGGGAACACGGCGTACGATTCGCTTTTTAAACTCGATTACCTCCAGCATATTGCCACAAGAAATTCAACGAAGATTCGATATTTTATGCTTTTTCGAAATTGTTAAAATACATGATACTCTCCGATTGGTTTTATCAACCCATTAAGAGAGATCCATTTCTCTTCTAATATTCAGTTTACATTTGCTTCGTGCACTTTCGTAAACACTCGTACAGAAAAAAAAACATTCATTTATTTTACGATGCTCATAGCAGCAAGAAGTAATGTAAATTCATTCTTTCCAAGAGTTCAGCTTGCGATAAATGAGTATTCGTTCCAACTATCAATCTTTCATGCGCGAGGTAATAACGTTCGACATGTGGGTTACACGTTTCTCATCCGAATTTTACGTAACGCGCGGGGATGCGAATACTCGCGTAAGCGAGCAGATAAACGCGACGGGAACGTCGTCGCGGATAGAGAAACCTGGCTCGAGCCTTGCCCAAGATAGAAGACCGTTTATTACCTTGTATCCTATTCGCCATTACCTTGGAGTTTATGATCGGAGCGAATTCATGAATCAAGACCCGGTGCTGCTCACCTCGCCGCAGAAAAATACCGCTCGCGCGTTGTTCACCAGATTTATACAGGGTGTCGCGAACTTTAACGACCGAGCCGTGCCAACGTGCATGCTTAGATAAATGCTCCTAGCGCGATTTACTAAAAACCAAGCCCCAACAGTATTTATGAACAATTGTTATTTAATATGAAATATAATTTATATCATAACTTGTCCATTTCTTTGAGATATGAATTTCATATTGCTTCGAATTACATTTACATTCGAATAACATTTCATATCTAAATCTGAATATCTTGAAGATTATTCTAATGGAACCGATAGAACCATTTTACTATTTAAAGAGAAAGCTTTTAAATTATGAACGTATGATTTAACTAGCAATAAAAGTTGTAGATTGTGCCAGGTTGAAAGCCATCGTCACATTATATGTCTCTATTAAATTAAAACGAAACCCGATTACATAGAATGAATAAAAAGAGCAATTATATTCGACGACGCTGACGATTCTTGACGCAGGGAATATTTCAACCAGAAGTTAAATCACGGACTGACGCAAGAGACTCAGTGGCGAAAATAGTATTGCTGGTTAAAAAATAACGGGCGTGTCGCGGTCATCGCGAAACGGACAGGGATCTTGGTTTATGAACACAATCTCTGGCAACAGTGTTGCCTCACTGTATGTCATTTCGAGCAATTAAACGTTCGCGTAACGCGGCCGGCCCGTCCTTGTCAATCACGATTAACGAGCATGCTTTTTACACCCATCGCTCGTTAAGCGGTCCGATTTTTTTACGGCTGTTTTACGCGCTCCTTCTCGACCCCATCCCACGGCCCTGTCAGGGAACGCGTTCGAATGATTTTCTGGGACGTTCGCTTTTACGAGCGCGCAGTCAGGGAAAAGCTCGCGTGGCTTACCGATAAAAGCGTAACTCGTTGTCATCGCCACGATGGAGAATTTAGGTAAACGTCCGCATGCTTTCACGCGTCGGTTTTATTAATAATAACGTTCGCGAAATTTATAGGCGAAGAGGAATTTGGGTAAAGCAAATGAAAAATGTATGCACGGTATTACGTGCACAATAATGCTTGTAGGAGAAAATCCGTAATGGATGTTACTAGCAATTAAATATGACGCGATCAGCAAACCGCCGGGAAAAGTAGAATAAATTATTTTAGAAGATGAGAGGGATGGTTGGGAACGACGCGATGATGCCGGGGAAAATTAGCGAAGTGCGCGAAAACCCGGCGGAAGATTTAAAATTCAAATCGGGCGCCCGTAAAACGCGCACGGGGTGGCCCGAGGTCTCCCCTGTGGTTCCCCATTCGAGCGATTTTATGGTGCAAGTAATGCGAGAAACTCGCGCGGGCGTTTCAAGTCCGACGGATATTTCTGTTCCCGTTCGATGCGAGTCACCAAAACTCGCGTACCCGAGTTACCGAGTAGAAATCAGCGTACCGTGTGACAAGGCGCGTACACGTCGTTGTAATTCGCCTGATATGCGTCAACTCGGCGAGCAATCGATCGAAAAACGCCGATGACGAATTCTACGCTCCGTGCGTTTCGAGTTCGGTGCGAAGCTAACAAACTGGCATGGAAACGCGCTCAAAAAGAGATTGGATTTGTATCTAAAGTGGAAATTGGAATACGACTTCTGGATGACTTTGTAAATTTATAGCTTGCACTAAAATCGGAAAGCATGCAAAACAGTAATTAATACAGAATGATTTCGCAAATCAAAAGTGAGCAAATTGCAAGTGCTAAACTAGTTAGAATGCATCTTTCGTTATTTTTTGAAGTAAATTCGTGAAAGGAAAGTTTCGACAGCTGGGAGAACGCAAAGGGACAGACGGACGTCGACAGCTTATCTGTGGCACGACAAACAGTGGACAACCATCGAATTTCGTAACGCTTTGGTCATAAAGATCTCTCTTATCTCTGTCTATCAGTCCTTGTACGCGATTCGAAACTCCATGTTCGACAAGAACAAGAGCAGAAGAAGAAAGAGGCTGAAATATCGAAGAGATCGGTGCCCGTGATACGGAGCCTCAAAGGTGGTCACTAAACCGCAAGTCGCGCTAATTTCGCGTAAAGCCGCAATTCACGCGCGTTTTAATTTCTCGCGGCTTAACAAATCGTGTTTGCGCGGCGCACCGCGCCAAGGGAGCGTCTCTTTTACGAGCGCCAACGGGCTTTTTATCCGGTTGAGGAGACCACGTTACGGAACGTCTCCGCTAAATAAAAGTCGTTGCTCGTCTTCTTACGCTACGCCGAGCTGACGCTCTCCCTCCATTAATTAAGATGCGGTCTCACGCATGGTCGCTCGGAAATTAATTAATTACGGAGACAAGCACATAGAAGATCAAGATTATCTAGTAAAACCTTGCAAAGAAGGAATCAATTCTAAATTCTTAATTCCTCTCATAGACGCAAAATGAACGTTGATCGTTAATTAAATTTGAATATCTTGGTCACAACGAATAGATTCTAAATCAGTGCTCCACTCTTGTCAAGATGAATTAGAGCCTGACAGCGAGACGACCAAAATAAGACACTGCTCGCGAGCATTTTCGAAAACGACGAACGGGACCCAGTTGCCGTCGCACGTTCAACCAGAGATCAAATTCGGTTGACGAGCGTTTACGAGCGCGCTGACACGTGTCCTTCCGTATGACACGCGACAGATGTCGACTGGCCTCGTCACAATCAGGGACGACGAAGGGAGAGAAGATGATAAAAAGAAAAACAAGATTCTGTTTCTTCGATCGGATCGCAGGGTGTTTCAACGTTACCAGTAGCGTTGTGAAATGTGTGACTGACTGACAAGGGACGTTGACAATCGACGTCACCGGAGAGGTTCGAATTCGCGGCAAGTAAATGCACACTATGTATACATGTATCGGGATAGGTAGATAGGTGGATCTACCCCGACGCCTGTTCGCCTTCCATTTCCATCACGATATAGGCGAATATACATACATATATGTTTGATCTTTCATCCCGTGGCTGTTTATCGCATCTAAAATGCAGCTCAGAAAGAAAAGGCTCCCCGGAAGGAAGAGTCTTTCGAGAGGAGGGATCGTTCGACGGGACAAATCGAGGGGTGCATTTACATACGATGCAAACAACGCGGGGCAAAAATTTCGAAAGATTTCCATAATCCTCTTTTTTCTTACTTCTTAGCCGGCATCTACGAGGTTTTAACGGTCCAAGATTATTGTCGGATTTTCATTCGTAGACGACTGCGGGCTATGGGAGCAATATCGAAATCTTCGGAGCGGAAGTGTTCCACTTTCGTCGAGGCAATTCCGCTTGAATCGTTTATGCGCCATCGCGCGTAATGCCCGCCGCTTGTTTGCCGTTTAATGGTATCCGTCCTGCTGAGATGGCGCGGTTAATTCGACGCTTAATTTTCATACAAACACAAGGGACCGACTAGGAGAGATCCGGACTCGTCGTTTTTAAATGGACCGCGATGCAGTTAATGTAGCTAAATTGTTTTCAAACCGAGGAAATTAAGGTTCTTCGATCGGTGAGGGCAGTTTATGAAAGAACTGCTTCTCCCACGACAAACGTTCGATCTACTCTTTCCCTCTGGATCAGCGTTGACGCTTAACTACTTTGTTCCCAACCGAGCACAAGCACCCTCCGAAAAAGGGGACGATTCGGTTCAAAGCCGGACCGAGGAAAAGATAAGCGCTCGAAACCGATGGTCAGCGGCAATAAAATCGCTTAGTAGATACTCGAACGCGATTCCGCGATACAAATAGCTCCGTTTCTCCACTGGGGCTCGATTTCGGTTTGAAAAGTTCGCTACGTAAATCAGCGGGTTCTTTGAAACTTCAAACGAGTCACCCTTTAAAAAGTCTCCGCCTGCAGTAACAACCCAGCCGATTTATGTAGATTATCGACCGCGAATTCGACGGGAACGCACAAATTGCCGCTCCCGTGTCCCGGGGATCGGCCTCGAGGCCATGAAATATTCACCGACCTATTCCTAAAGGATAGTCGTAACACATCCGGCGAGCATAGTTTTATATTATGATCGCGCCTTATGCGGGCGAAGTTTGCCGAAAGGAAGGAGACGACGCGATGCTCGAAACGCGCGAGCGAGCGTCCCGATGCCCCCGGCCACGCCTCCGACATATTCTTTTACGATGAAAGGAGCTGCTAACACCTCTTCCGCACGGATTTAAGGTTACTCGGTTTAAAAGGTTCCTCCGTATCGCAGGTTGAATCTGCCTGTTCAAACGATTTCAACAAAGGCATATTTCACCTTAAATAGTCTCACTGCCTTTAATGCATTTCTCAAAAGTCTCTCGTGAGATAATTTAAAACCGATCGATATGAAAGTATTTATGAGTACTTGATTGAAAACATCGTTTTACATATTGAAATTATATAATTGATGTCTGCATCTGATACGACGACGTTATGAAATACGTATCGACAGGCGCATGAAGCAAAGAAATTATCAAAGCGTATAATA